TAAAGACATTCCAATATGATTGAAAAAGCATGTTACTCATTTCAAACATACTTGCAGCATGTTACATTAGAGGCCAAAAGATAATGAGACCCCTGGAGCTATTATGGAGAAACTGTTCAAATGCTAAAAGGAAGTTAATACTGGTGTACCACAAGAAAATGTGTACTGCAAGAAAATGGAAAAAAATGCCTTTTTGGAATACTTGTTATAGTGATTTATGCTCTTGAAATGTCATACAAAATAAGGTGAAAATGAAGTGAATTACTACAGTCTTGAGCTAATGATCATTTTCATTCATTTTGTTGTGTTGGGATTTTGCCTCTTAGCTCCTATGTGTGAAGGAATGGTGCTCTGATTTAACAGCAAGAATTTACAAGTTTCCTAGAGTCCCTATGAAAGAGAGGAAGAAAGAACTAGAGAAAAGAAAGGTAAGGGGAGGGGTAAGGGAGGGAAGGAGCAAAAGTTTTCTACTCACCCAGAGCAGAAAGAACCTGGATACCTTGTGGCTTAAATTTCTGTTTTTCCTGCATTGCTGTAATATGATATATGCATTTCTACACTCTTTGTTCGAGATACTTTTTTTCTGTCAGACACTAAGGACACATTCAATGTCTTCTTGTACTGTAGACAGATATTTTTAGTCTTACATTATTTTTTGTGTCAGATATCCTTCAGTTTAAGACTTTTATTCTATTTTTTGCCTATGATGTTTAAATTCCGTCCCTCAAATATTTCGCCAAACTAAGCATATTCACAATTTTTATTTTTATTTTTATTTTTTGTCTTGGTGGGGGAGTAAATCAGCTATTCCTTTGTACACTTACTGAAATTAGTAAATTATTAAACCTTTGGAATTGTTATAAAAAGTTGGCTAATGCATGTGCCTTATTTTGTAAATGTCTTTGACCTTTGCCCTTTGGCTTGTACATTTTTTAGAAGATTCTGATCTATGTAGTTTGACGTCAGGCAGTTATATAACCACTATGAAGCCTTCTTTTACCAACTGTGCAAGTGTTCTTTCCAGGATAAATATTTTCCTGGTTTTCAAAACCTCCTAAAGTCATCATCCATGCCTTCTGACTCCAATTTGATTTTAAAGCTCTTTTGTACTTCTAGTGTTTACAGTAAATAATGCTAGTGGAGTATCTCTGCATTAGAGCTGGTTAGAAAATGGCTTACCTTCTTACTATTTTATATTTCTGAAGCTTATTTTTAACCATGTTAATTGGGGCAAAATCAAAATGATGAATGGATAATTCTATTCTGTTTGTTCTAATTTTGCATCAGGTCTTAAAAAAATGGGAGATTTGGGAGGTAATCTTTTAACCGTGTTCAAAATAACATAGTAAAAACATCTCCCTGCACAAAAGAACAACAGAAGTTGTTTGGTGTCACCTTGTAAATGCTAAAGAGGCTCTTTTTCTAGGTGTAATAGTAAAGGAGAACAGTTTCATTTTTAAATTGTAACACTTTAAATAACTTTTTTTTGTTTTAATTTTTTTTTCCATTATAAATAATTTTGTAACAAAAATTCCAAACAATTTTTCATGAGACACATTCATGACTATTTGCAGAGTGAGGACGTATCATTCCCTGAATATTAGTTGTATGATAGGAGTAACAAAAAATATTTTTCTTTGTTTTAGAAACTGTAGAGAAGGAATTTGGTCTTCAATAAGTCCATAAAACCATTCATTAATGCATTTATTTATTTTAAATGTCTCTTCCATGAATGAAGAGGAAGGAGAAGCTTTTATGTCTTGTAAGATTCCTGCTTACACCAGCAACACCATAAGTCAGCTGATCTTGAATTATTTTTTCCTTAAAAAGCTTTTCCATTTCTATCCCTGGTAGAAGGCTCACATTTAGAATCAGGACTGATTGGATCACAGCAAAGAAACTTTGGCTAATGAAAATCAATTAAAGTAATTTGCCATTGGATCCATTCATCCCTTTTCATTTTAAGTGTGGTGGTTGTCCCTGGCTAACAGCCAAGCACACACATAGCCACTCTCTCACTTTCTTCCCTCCCCTTCCCAGTGAGATGGGGGAGAAGATAGGAGGAGCAGAAGTGAGAAGACTCATGGGTTGAAATAAAGACAGGGAAATCACTTACCAATTACTGTTGTGGGCAAAATGACTTGGCAAATTTAATTTAACTTATTGCCAGGTAGCATAAATATTTAATTACTGATTGGGGTGTTAAATAACAACAAAAAAGGACAGGCATTTAAACATGCAAAAAAAGTTCCTTTCCTCCCACTTTCCCTAGCTCAACTTCAGATTCCTCTCCCCCACCTTCCTAGTCTTCACACCATCACTCCAGGCATCTCTTCCTGCTGTGTTACTGCCACAGGTTGCACCAGTCCCTTCGATGAGGTAATGGGTGGCACAGGAGGACAAAGTCAGTACTTAGCCATTTCCCTCTGCCACTCCTGGTTGCTCACTTTTTTTCCTGTCCTCTGGTATGGGTCTGTCATGAGCTGCAGTCCCTTTGGACACATACTGCTCCAGTGTGGAACATCTCCCGTTCTGGCCTTGTTCCCTCCTCCTCCTCTCTCTCTGCGCTGCCCTCCCTCCTCTCTGTGTTCCTTCACCCGCAGTGTTTTTGACCTTTATTTTAAATATGTTTCCCCAAGATGCCACCAGCTTGGCTCATGGGTTTAGCTGTGTCCTACAGTGGGTCCATTGCAGAGCTGCCTGGAACTGGGTGTGTTCAACCCCAGTCTCTTCTCACAGAAGTCCCCCCTGCATCCCCCCTGCTGCAAACATCTTGACACCTGCATCTAATACATTACCACGAAGAAGTGGTGTTTGTTTCAGTAGCTTGGTAAACTGAGATAATCTGAATGCAGATACAAGAGATCTTTTGTTTGGATAAACGTGGGAGGTATGTTTCTTTTTTATACTCTATTGCTTTTTCTAATATACGTTCTTTCTAACAGTGTTTCTGGAAAGAATGCAAAGACTGGACATAAGTAATAGTCCAGACACAACCATTTCTTCTTGATTAGTTTCCATAACTTCTAATACAGCCGTTCTCAGACTCTGCAGTGGGGCAGACTGAGCAGCTCCTTGTGGACAAACACGAGAGCTGCTTGTACCCCTTTCTCCATCAAATGATCTGAGTATATCTGTATCATATAGGAGTACTGTTACTCTCTCTTCTTCTACCCCTTATATGACAAGACAAGCATATGAATCCCTGTCCCATGATGAGAATGAATGCATCCCCATGGTGTGGATGAGGGTCAGGGGGACATGTGTGATACCTGAGCATGTGAGTAGGTGCATTCCAGTGACATGACCAAGATGTGCACTGTCCAGGTGAATAGCTGGACAGTGGACATACACATTAACAAGACTTGTTCTTGTCATATGTCAGGAGAAAAAGTGTTTTTTCTTACGTGACAAGGACCTTATGAAAGAAGGTAGCAGGACCTAGTAATGATTGGCCAGTCAGGCCAACAAGGCTGTTTTGTTTGCCTTGTGTGTGTGTGTAGCCCTTAGGCAAGAGGGCAGCAGGGAGTGGGCTGTGAACCACAGTCAGGCTGAGCTTGCAGTCTGCTAGTTGCTTCTGACAACAACTTCCTTGAAATATCATCTGGCTTGAGTAACAGAGGGGAATGTAATTTCTATTCTGTCAGACCTCTGTCAGAGATAAAGTTTATTTGTCTGATCAGACTTGCGATTGTAACCTGAATACAGGGTTGGCTATAGGTGACTTCAATCAGAGAATTGTCAATATTTCTATAAAATAATTCTTACTGTTGGATGTGATCACTCTTATATCAAATATCTTTTGTTTGAGAGTAATGAAATAATAAAATATTTAAGATAGAATATTAATCAGATTGCTGTACAGTCTGGAAAGGAAAAATACTTATATGCATCACTTGGAGCAAAATTTTGCAACTAAAACTCATAAAGAGTTGGCCCTAGTTCTCAGATTTCAGTGGAATTACTCACAGAGTAGGAAATTGTCACACCAGTAAAGTTGGTAGAGCATGTTTTACTAACTGAAAAATGTAGTCGTTGTTTATTACACAAAGTTGTTTTTTCATATTTTATGCTGAGTGCACACAGACAATCAACCATCAAGGTGGAATTATTTCCTGTAACTTTATTCCTTTTGTACACATCTAGTCTAAACTAAATGGTTAGGCTGTCTTTCTAGGCCATGGAAAAAGATCATGAGCATTACTTCCAACATTTTATTACACCAATCTTAAGAAGAGATGAATCATCCTCTTAAGGTGTCTGTCTCTTCCTATTAATTAGAGAAGAAGCCTAGATAATTAGCTCAGAATGAATGCATAACTTCAGGATGAATAAATTCAGATGGATTGGTTTGCACCATGAGTGCCTAGTTGATATGGGCCATCTAGGCATTTAACTTCTACATGGGTGAAATTAATATTGACTGAATGCAGTCTTTTCTCATTTTTTGTAACTGGTACAATCAGCTATATTGAGATCCCTTGAGTGTTATCATAATGCAAGTATAAATAACAATAGAGCGGTTTTAAAAATACTAATCCCACACTTTGAGAACAAATTAATGCAAATGCAACCTCTCTTTTCTTTAAATGAAACATATTTTTGGAAATAGTATAACATACTGAAACATTTTATTGAGGTACTACTCACTAGCTTCATGTAGCAAAGAAAAATTAACAGGCCATTTCAGTGCAATTTCACTTGTAAACCACTTTGACGAGGAAGGTGGTTGTAGATAGAGGAAAATCCAGTAATATTATGTTATAAAATCCAGAGCTTTGATCTTGACAGACTCCAGAGGATGACAGCGAGTAACTCAGTGGAGAGAGATGGGTTTTTTTGGGTTTTGAGATTTTTTTTTTCTTTTAATCCTGTTAGGTTTAATGTTTTCCTCTGATAGGCATTTTAAAACTACCATTTCAGTGAAAAAGGCTTAGAAACTGCTTTCAAATTTAATTAAATTAAAACCTAGTGGTTAGCCATTTGTCTTACTGTCCCTCAAAAGACTCACATACCAACCTTCACATCTGTGCACTATTCCTGTGAAGGCAGTGTATTGGTGGAGTTTAGTGTCTTCATCCAATGTTACATACAATTAGACTTTTTTTTCTCCTTTTTAAACATTTTGTGGACTCTTACTTTGAATAGGAATGGAAACTCGGAAGAGTTTAGCTATAATTGGATGAAGGTGAAGAGACTGTAACCAGTCAGTGAGATGAAGCTATGGTTTATATGTTGGTGCAATTCAAATGGACATAACAAAACTCTTCTGTGAATTCTGTATGTAAGACTCACCGTCCTGCAGTGCTGTACAATCTTTATCTGCTTGCATGAAAGCAGAAGTACAAGGTTTTAGTTACACAAGTTCTTCTTCCTCATGTTCATTTGACACTCTTGAAAAAGGCAGTATCAAAAACAATCCTTTCACACATCATCTAGCTCTGGTATATTAAAAAAACCCCTGACTCAGCAGCTTTCAAAACTATTAATTAAGCTAGGTATCATGGTTGAGTTTAACTAAGCCCTCAAAATATGTAAGCATCATATTACATATGTTAATACAGGGTTATAAAGTTCTTATTCTAATACACATACACATTAAAACAGATACTTATTAATAGCATGTGTCAACATCTTTACATGTTGCCAGTCAGTGTCATGCAATATTTACTGAAGTTGATACAGATTTCATAAATGAAGCTTTCTCATCTCTCTCATCTTTCTGTTCCACAAACAACTTATGGTAATTTATTATTTATTTACACTAAACAATAAATGTATGCATAGAGATTCAGATCTAAAATCCTTGTGAAGAGGTGAACTGTAAAGACAGGGTAGAGTTGAATCCTTCCTACAGGCTCTCATATTTTAATAATGTGCAGTCACTGAATCTGAAAGATTTCTTTTAGTTGTTTAGAGAACTTTCTTCTGGTTTCCAGGAAGGGACATGACACAGTCACTAGTTACTCATGATTAGCTTTTTTTCTTTCTTTTTTTTTTTTTTAAATTAAAAGATTTTTCTCTCTGAGGATGGTGTACAACTGGCAAATAGGATGACTACCTGTGTTATCTTGTGGTTTTCTTTTATTATGTTGCTGACCAGAGCCCATACTCAAATTTCTAATGAGCATTTGACTAACTGAAAGAATATTGTGAAACAGTGATCATGGAATAGAGTATATGCTCTAATATGTGTGTAATCAATATGTGTATGTAATCATACGGGGTTTTTATTACAAATAAGATAATGGCATATCACAAAAGATAATCTTACCTTCCATCCAGGTTATAATTTTCTACCAGAAATAATGTTTATTATTTATTAATACTACCAGTAAATTCTGTAATTTAGTTGAGATTAAACTAGCAAATTATTGAGAGGCAATTTTTAAAAGATACTTAAATTGAATTTATATCTGATGGGGGCTGTGTGGCTTCTTCTCTATTTGATTCAGACACTGTAATTAATCTTTATTTGATTCAGACACTGTAATTAATCGTGCTTGAACAAGAAACATGATTATTTGTTCTGATGTTTTTCCCAGCTCATGTTAAGTGAAATTTCTGTCTTACAATGAGACAACTTTCAGTAAATTAAATACAGATTTTCATTTATGTACATAGTTACCTGAAGATGCATATTGAAATCTAATGGCACTTTTCAGAAAAGCATTCTGGCGTTTTTACAGACAGATAACAATTTACAGGTACAGACAGACCCAGCCTTCTTTGCCCACATGGTGAGAGGACTGAATGCAAATCAGTTCCAACCTGGGAAACAAATAGTTGTCCTAATCTGGCACTGAATCTGGAATGCCTAACCAATAGGTAGGATGGAAGATTCCTGTGTCACTTAGGCTTTTCCAGAAAAACAAACAAACAAACAAAGCCAAAAAAAAACCCCACACACAAAAACCCCCCACCAACTGATAAGTACTTCAAATGTGCCTGGACGTGAAGAAACCGGAGGAGCATGTCTGGCTCTGCAGGGCTGGAGAGGATTCTGAGAAGGTATTTTACCAAGGAGGAGGAGAAATAACAAATTACTGAAAAAATTGCATTAAGAAATAGTAAGTTTACACCTTAAAAATAAATGTTAGAAGCAATCGTATTGCTAAATTTGAGTTGCCAGTGATCAATTAAAATGCTGTAACTAACTTTTTGCATGGGCTTAGCTTGTTGCAAATGCAAAGTAGTGTTGTTTGTGTAAATGAATTAGCATTAGGAGCAAGCCAAAAGCATATGGTTTTATTTCTCTTTTTTTAGTCATATGACGTAAAAGATGCAACAGATATGACTGACTTGTAAGAGAGGAATTCACTGAGAGATTTGAACAACTCTTAGCCGGATATCAGAAAACTATTAATAGTATATAATATTACTTTACCATTTGTTACAATTTAAAAACTTCCTTTTTTGTTTCACGTGAAGCTGAGGAATTTTTACTTTGAAGAATCTTGTGGTGGGCAAGGTTGTCTTCTAGTTTGTTTACAGTGTGATTCTTATGACTCTTAGGGAAATTTTTGGAGTCCTGGCATTCATTTATGCAAGGTAATTATTATTTTTTCTTTTGCATACCACTTAAGGATAGCACAGAATTTTTAATGAGGTGAATATTTTTAAATAGTGCTTGTTTCATCAGAAAATACTATACATTAGTATACAGCATACAGTATATTAAGTATTTTTTCAAAGGGGTTCTGTTGCATTAAAAGAGTTGTTTAGAGATAAATTACTTAATCAAACAATAAAAATGCTGGGATGATTCAGTTGGGAAGAGGGGGTTTGAAAGAGCTTCCTGTCATTGTACTTTTAAGAGATGCATGTGTCTGTAGTAATCAGGATAAGGATGAATCAACTAGCCATATCTTGAGCCAATTATCCTGGAGCGGGGAGGGGGGGAAGGAAGACTTCTGCTTCTATGTTATCTGCCAACATTTTTTTAATGCAAAAAACTAAAGCTTAAGTGTTTGTTAAATAATTATTTATTAGAATCCAAAAAATGTGATTTGAAGATATGTAGCTGTGCTGGGTCTCTGTGGTGCAGTTTTTTGTTTGTTTGTTTTTTGTTTTGGTTTGTGGTTTTTTTTGTTGTTGGTTTGGTTTGGTTTGGTTTTTTTTTTTTTTTTTTTTTTTTTGTCTTTTTTGTTGTTGTTGGTTTTTTTTTGTTTGTTTGGTTTTTTTTTGGTTTTTTTTTTAGCAGGTGTGGGGGCTACAGTAGTGCCCCCTGTGAGAAATTCTCGAAAGCTCCCCACCCCCGCCCTCCCCCGGCTCCAAGTCGAACCCACCTCTGGCCAGGGCTGAACCAATCAATTGTGCCTCTGCGATACCGTATTTAAGAAAGGGAACCTGAGAGGGGATTGGGACTTGTGAGAAGGACGGACACTGATGTCAGCGGGAGGAAGAAGGATGTGGGGGAGGCTTGCTGGAGTAGAGATGGCTGTATCCCATGGGGAGACAGCAGGGCCACCCCCCTGCCACCTGTGGAGGTCTGTGGTGGAGTAGAAGCCAACCTGAAGCCTGTGGAGGAGCCCACGGTAGGACAGGCGTCTGCGCTTAAAGGAGGCCGGGATTCTGAGGGGAGAAGCGGCCGCCGCTGTTGTAGTTTGGCGCTGGGAGGACCGCAACACGCGGGGGGGACCCACGCCGGAGCAGCTTGGGAACGGCTGCGGCCCGTGGGCAGGACTCACGCCAGAGAAGGTTTGTGGAGGACTGTCTGCAGTGAGAGGGGAGCCATGTGGAAGAAGGGAAGAATGTGAGGCGTTCACCCCACCTCCCGAGAAGGAAGGAGCAGAGAGCTGACTGTAACCCCCATCCCCTGCCCCCTGCGCTACTGGGGGTGAAGAGGTAGCGAGATCGGGGGCAGAGCTGAGCTGGGGAAGAGAGAAGGGTAGGGGGAGGTGTTTTTGGATGTGGTGGCCCTTCTCACTGTCCCCACCTTGTCTGTTAAGTGTTGTCTTGTTAGCATTTGAATTAAAGTGATGTTTTCTTTTTCTTCCCCTAATGAGTCTGTCTTCTGCCTGTAACTGTAATGGGTGAGTGACTCCTCCTAGTCCTTTTAGATGGATTCTTTGAGCCATTCCTGCCCCACATTCTCCCCTCCCCATCTCTGCAATGGGGGAGGGAGTGAGCGAGGGGCTGCGTGGTGCTCTGTTGCCCTCTGGGCCTAAACCAGGACAGTAACAACGGTAGAGTAAGTGTGCATATGCCCCCACATACATGTGCAGATGTGTATATTGTCATATCTATGTATGTATGCACGTATATAGGTCCATATATAATGATTAAAGTATTGTAGTTTTCAGTATCATGTATGAAATCCAAATTCTTATATGGATCTTGTTGCAGGAAGTTAAGCACCTCTAAAAATCTATTCAACTTAGCGGCCACATTGGGAAGAAAGAAGGTCCTATTATATCAGAGAGAAAGTGAGGCAGAGATTAAAAATTGCACTTATATATCCTATATGCAATAAAGGAAAAATGTTGTCACCTGAACCTAAAATACACACCTTCATAGCTGTGGCCTACTGCACGAACATCTCAAGGATGTTGTGGAAATAAAAAAAAAAAAAAAAAAAAAAAAATCTAATTGCTTCAATGCAAAAAAAAACAAAACAAAATTTAACTGGTTCAAAATTGACTAAAACAAATTAATGAAGGTAAAAAGTTCAGTGAGAAGCTATTGAATACAGTGCTCTCCTGTCCAAAATACCCTAAATACTGACTGCCAAAAGGTAGAAGGGTGCACTAGTAAAAGAATATACTTGCCAAGTTTCTTTCGTTCTTTCCTTAAGCATTTGAGTTGGTTGCTGTTGGACACCAAATACTAGGTTAAGTGGAAGCTTCATTTGATTTGGTGTAACCATTTTCATGTTAAGTCTGCACATGCCTGTCTTTTCACTATCAAAAATCCTGGTCTGACACAGACAAGCCTCAGCATTCTCAGAGTTTCATTCTTCTCACATCCTTCCCTTTTTACTCCTCTGAAATTCTTTGCTGTTGTCCGTTCCACTCAATTTCATCCATCCAATTTTTCTTGCTTTCCAAGCACATCCATTCAACATGCATTAAAGTCTGCTGCAGAGAGAGTGCACCAGAGAAATCAGAGTTGTTGGGATTATTTTTTTTTTCCTGTTTCCTTGTTGATTTCACTTCAGGGACATGACATCAGGTAGAGGCAGATAGCCTAATGCGTGAGAGTGTTTACAGATATTCCACAGTGGAGGAGTATCCAGCAATACTGAATCAGACACATCATTCAATAACATTTTTTTGTTGTTGATTTGCAAAATGAGAAATGGAGGTACTAAATAAAGCTAGTTTCTGCAGGAATAGATCCAGAAAATAAGATTTCCAGCCACCTTGCAAATGACAATGATTCAATTGACATTCAGCACAGCTATTGTTAACTTTTCTGTGTAGATTTATTTAAAATATTGTATGAAGGGGCCATATAGCATATACAGCAGAAGGTTTGAAAGTTTTACCTTTGACCAAGTTGATTAATTTTCTTAGGTATTTTGGTGAACATGTTATTTTTTTTGCTGATGTCTCTACACAGGCTTGAAATTGCTTTAAAATACAGATAAATTGTAGTCATTTAATTACTAAGATATTTCACTAATTTTTTACATTTCTTTCTGTAAAATAAAATACAACTATTATTCTGGTTTCTAGCAGTAACTTTGCTCAGTAAAAGGAAAAATAATTTATACTGTTCATTAGTGGCTAAAGACCCCACACATATTCAAAAGGACTACTCTTCATAGCTTCGTGCCTTCTAATTAAAACATGTGATGTTTTGTTTGTACCAGTTGAATTAAATCTTGGAATTGCTGTTTGTAAAACTTACAAAACCAGCTAGCTTTGTACCTTTAAAATGATGGTTTTATTAGTGGCAGGTTTATGTATTTCTAGATTTTACTCAGACAGCATGAAGCCCACAGTGAAACTGAGGGCACTCAGTAATTCTGTGAAATATATGTGCAGGTCCTGCAAGCATCCATGCAACTCTATATATAATGTCACCAACATATATGTCACCCTTTTCAACGTCCCTATTGCCATGGACCTTGAGACCCTTGTAGTCTGAACAGTGGAGTAGGAACATAAGATACGGCAGCAGGTTGTTCCTATCCTATGGGGCCAGCATGTTCGTTGTCCTCTTGCAACACATGGGAAGCAATTCACCCGTGTTTATCCTTTCAGGGAAGAAAGGTGAAACTGCCACACAGATTAAAAGTCTGCACTCCGGCAGGTGCTACACAGTGTCACTAGTATGGTAATTTGATGAAGGGTTGGTTCGATGCATCCTGCCAAACAGAGCTGTGTTTAGTGTTCATGCAGAGTTTGTATGTCTGGTGGGGTTTTTTGGTAGCAGGGGTGGTGGCTACAGTGGTGGCACCTGTGAGAAGCTTCTTGAAGTTCCCTCGGATCAAAGTCAGACCCACCTCTGGCCAGGGTCAAGCCAATTAGCAACAGTGTCTGCACCTCTGCGATACTGTATTTAAAAAGGGGAATCTTCAAGGAGGAGTGGGAGTTGGGAGGAAGACAAATGTGTGAACACTGAGGTCAGTGGAAGAAAGGAGGAGGAAGTTGGGGAGCTGCACCAGTGGAAAGATCCCCCTGAACCCATGGTGAGAGGGCAGGGCTGCCCTCCTCTGCCACCCATGGAGGTCTACAGTGGAGCAGGGGCTGACCTGCAGCCTGTGGAAGAGCCCACGCTGGAGTAGGTGATTGCATCCGAAGGAGACTGGGATGCTGTGGGGAGAAGCAGACCCCACTGTTGTAGTTCAGCTCTGGTAGGACTGCAGCATGTGGGGGTGACCCATGCCAGAGCAGCTTGGGAAATGCTGCAGCCCATGGGAAGGACTCATGTCAGAGAAAGCTCATGGGGGACTGCCTTCTGTGAGAGGGACCCCACACTGGAGCAGGAGGAGTATGCGAGGAGTTCCCCTCTTCCCCTGAGAAGGAAGAAGCAGCAGCACTGACTGCACCTCCCATTCCCTGCCCCTGCACCGCTGGAGGGAGGAGGTAGAGATACTGGGAGCAGAGCTGAGCCCAAAGAAAAGGGTTGGCGAAGGTGTTTTTAAGGCGTGGCAGTGCTTTTCACTCTCCTACTCTGTCTCTTAAGTGTTGTTGTTAGCGCCTGAATTAAATTTGAGTTCTTTTTTCTTCCCTCAAGGAGTATGTCTTTTGCCTGTAATGGGTGATTCATCCCTCCCTGTCCTTACCTCCATTCCCAAGCCTTATGCTGAGGAACTGCATTGCCCTCTGAGCTCAAACCACAACAGTGTTTCAGTGTTAAAGTTTGTGTATGTATTTTCCATGTCTGAAATGAAGTAGATTGCTTCCCATGTGTCCTAGTTTTGAGTGAGTAGTGGAGATTTTGGGTAGCAGGAGAGTGGGCTACAGTGGGGGCCCCTGTGAGAAGCTTCTCAAAGCTCCCCTAGCTCCAAGTCAGAGCCAATCAGCTGCACCTCTGTGATAATGTATTTAAGAAGGGACCTGGGAGGAGGAGTTGGACTTGTGAGGAGGAGTTGCTGCAGCTGCGTGAACACCAAGGTCAGTGGAGGAATGGAGGAAGAAAGGAGGGGGGAGGTGTGTCGGAGCAGAGACCCCCTGTATCCTGTGGTGAGATGGCAGGGCAGCCCCCTCCTCCCCATCTATGGAGATCTACGGAGGAGCAGAGACTGGTATATGGTGTGTGGGGGGCCCCACACAAAAAATTAAGGTGGTTGCACCCAAAGGCAGCCAGGATCATGTGGGAAGAAGCAGCCCCTGCTGTTGCAGGAAGGGCTGCAGCCCATGGGAAAGACTCAAGTTGAAGAAAAGTTCTGGAGGACTGTCTCTTGTGAGAGGAGGAGCACTCTGGAGCAGGAGGAAGAAATTCCAGAAGTTCCCCCTGCCCAAAGGTGGAAGAAGTGGCAGCACTGACTGCACTCCCCATTCCCTGCCCCTGTGCTGCTCCAGGGAGGAGGTGGAGATATGGGGAGCAGAGCTGAGCCCGGGAAGAAGGGAGGGGTGGGGGAAGGTATTTTTAAGGTGTGGTAATGCTTCTTGCTGTCCTACTCTGTTAAGTGGTGGTGGTGATTTTTTTAGTGTCTGTAATAAATTTATGTTGTTCTTTTCTTCCCCTAATGAGTCTGACTCTTGCCTGTGACCATGATGGGTGATTCCTCCCTCCCTGTCCCATCTTGAATCCCAGACCTTTGCTTCTTTTCTCTTTCCCGTTGATAGGGGGAAAAGGGGAAGTGAGCGACTGCATGGTGCTCAGTTGCCCTCTGAGCTCAAACTAGAACACCACGGGGTAAACCAGATAATGATCTGTCACCGCAGTGATAAGACTGGGATCCTTAGATGTTGCTGGCTGAATTCTAAACCAGAACTGTTGTCATCAAAGTGGTGTCAATGGGTTATAAAGCATACATTAAACAGTAAAAATAGGCTAATATATTTATTAGTGTTTTATACGTATGTGAACAATCACTAGAAGAGTTTAAATCCTCTTTGCACCTATACTTTCTGGCAATAATGAAAGTTGGGAATCAGAAGTCCCAGTCTGTGTTCGTTGATGTTCACTATTTTAATCTCTTCTGACTTGTGTCAGTCCCAAGTCTTATCTGTCCAGGTTCTTTCCAGTCAGTTATCTTCATCTGCCTTAATCATAACTCCTCAGGTCCTTCATCCCAGACACTCCAAGTTCTCTCACCTCTTTTCCTCCATTTGTTTTCCTATCCACTGTCATAATATCTCTTCCAGTTTCTTAAACCTTCTACCATTTGTCCTCATTTCAATCTGCATTTCTCATTCCCGCTGGGTCTCAAGCTTCCCTTCTTGCTCTTTGTTCAAGTCAGTGAAAGCTCTTATATTTCTGACTACTTCATCTGCTCTACAAATACTTTTACCCACTACACCTCACTGATTTACGAATCTGTCTCCCTTGATGTCTAGTCTCTTGGTACCAGCTCTTCCAGTTCTGGATTCTTCTCTCCAGTTACTTTTATCTACCATAGCTTACTGATTTACAAGTTTTTCTGTTTCTTGACCTGCTGTCCCAATTCTCTCTGGAAATTCTTGTTTCTAGTTCCTTTTCCTACTCTTTCACTTTCAAATTTCTACCTCAGTATTGGTTTCCTCCACTTTCCTTCTTGTGAAGCATAATCCAGAGTGCAGGTGTGACTCATGTCTCATCTGCATTTGAAAAAGGCTGCCTGCATCAAGAAAAGGTAGGAGAATTACAAGGGGCAAAAGAGAGAATCTCTGATGTGTATACCTGGCACAGTCCATCAGAGTCTAGAGACACTCCATTTCCACCTGGACATAGTCAATGCAGAGATATTACAAGTTCCTGTTTAGGTAAAATAACATTCATAGCATGCACATCTTCAAATAGACTGTGCTTTTATCATAAAAACATATAATGGTATGTAGCATTGTGTACAACACATTCTTCTTCCTGTTTGAAGTTGGATATAGCTTGAGCATTGTTTATAGAACACTGTGATAGAATATAAAATATTTTAACATAATTTTGGTATAACACCTGATGTTTAAAATGTTTGTGCAAAGCTTTTTCTTAAACATTCCTTGCAATAATTTGATAATGCATCTCTTCACCCCTTTTTCCATAATACTTATTCCTGTCAAGAAACTTAAACTGTATTTTCTTTTTTCATTTGTTGAAGATAAATTCAGTCATTTACTTCAGTAGCAGAATTGATAAACTTTTTTTCTGCAACGAACCTTGGAAATTTTGGTTCACATTCTTTCAGATTCTATGTTCCTCAAATCACACTTATACCTGAAAAAAAAGACAAACCTTATTTGCTCTCAAGATATATTGCTGTATAGTACATCTGTGTACCCAAAAGTATTGACACTGAGGTTGTAACCAGTTCTTTGTTCATCTTTATTTAAGGCTTCATTTGTGTAAAGGGATAGAAGGAAAAATTAACTGTATACTAAAAGATGAATTTTTACTTATAAGAAATATGAAAGAGAAAATAATGTTAAAAAAACCTCTTGAGAAAAATAGTACCACATAACAATATACAGTATCATTTTCTTTTTCTCTTCTACTATACAATCCAGGGCAATAATAGGACTAGATTAGATTAACAGTGAAATTTTTTTTAAAAAATCTATCTGTTAAATTTTCCACCTGTTCTTACACACCAGGAAGAAGATGAGACACCTTTTATTTCTAATAATTTGCCAGTGTGCCACAAACAGTGTCAAAACACACAGTGCTTCAAATCCCAGTGTAATTTTACTGATGGCTGATGATCTTGGTATTGGAGACCTGGGATGTTACGGGAACAGAACGTTAAGGTATGATGGTACATTTGGGGGAGTCAAAGCTTTACATTTAGTTTTTCCATGCATTTTTAAAGTTAAAAACCCCCAAACATTTGGAGATTTTATTAAGTTATTTAAGTAAACAAAGTTAATAACCTTTCCAGAGAATAGAATATTCAATTTTTGTTTTCTTAATAAGAAAATAACACTTTGATGTATTTATCATGCTGAAAAGTTGCATCATAAACAGAGAATTGAGCAAGCAACCAAATAAGGGTAGGTCTAGAGAAGCAGAGTATAATTAAGTTTTGTTTTAAAATATATATAATGCAAATACTATGAATTAAGCATATTTTGAACCACTCATGATTTGAGACAAGCTTGTCAGTAACCAATTGGAAATAAAGTGCCGATTTTTTCTTTCATTTATCTTCATGTTGTAGTCAATAAATTAATTAAAACAAATGTTTATTTGTTACCTGAGAACGTTACCTGAGAAACGTTCCCCAGGATGATCTTTACTACCAGCTTAGGTATGACAGTTGTATAAACAGTGCAAGTTGTACATCATCATTGTGTTTCAGCGGTGTAAAGTATTTGATTAATTAGAAATTCAGACTAAAAGTACCATCCTGTCAAATGCTGAATACTCTTGTTCCTGATGAAGTTAATTAGAAGTAAAAACTCCTTGTAACTAAAACAAAACAAAAACAAAATAAAAACAAAACAAAACAAAAACAAAAACACAAAACCCCCCAAAAAAACAAAACAAACCACCAAACTCTTAAGTTACAGCTTCTCATTTTAAACAGGAAAAAAAGTACGTACAATATCAGTGCTTAGATCACTCCCCTCACAAAGACCAGAACTGCACCAAGACTTATGTTCTCTCATGTGAGAATTCAGAATTAGATCTTTGGAAGACAAAGAAATTTCATCATACTGCTTGTTATCAGTAGGTGATGTGATAGATAACAAAGTCTGTTGGAAAATTAATGATTCTGACTATTCAGGTTTAGATGATGGGAGCACTAGCGTGCCTTGAGGTCATGGTCGTTAATCTCCCAGATCAGGGACGTATAAGAGCATGCTGCAGCTCTTGGCCAGTCTGCATTCCTAGTTTTGTTCTGTAGAACCAAGGGCACAGGATTTCTTCCTGCGGGAATAAGTCTTCATCTGCATGATGACCCAGGTAACAGACAAGTTTCCCATGCAGATATGGAAACTTGGATGTGCTCCTGGGTCCAATATTGCAGACATAGTCATATCAGACATTAAAGCATCCTTAATATATAGCCTAACGCAGAGTCATAACCATTTGAATCTCCCCTAATAACTGGTACCACCACACAACATTACACCTACCCCAAAGTCTTTTGCTGGGGAAAGACAGATGTGACATCAAGAAAGGAGTAGGGAAGCACAACCTTTGTCCCGTCTCTCCTCCCTATTGCTGAAGTAGAAAGGCCATGTAAGTAACAAAGTTACAGTTCTGTGTCAAGGAATGCATTAAAAAGGGCTGCAATAGAGTACATCCAGGTGTCACAGTTTAGTACTGGCCATGAAGAGTAGATGAAAGTGAGAAAAGAGATTTTTAGAACAATGCCACAGTGTCTTCTTCAATGTTGACGCCTAATGTAAAAGTGTTTCACACAATAGTATTTAGAATTGCAACACCAGCATGGTTTTGATAATTTGCATACAGTAAGTCTTGACTTGATTTTCCTGATAGGTTTTGACTCAGATGCCTTGATCTCACCATACCCATTTCCAAATAATCATCTCTAGGTATTTTTTTTTTTTTCCATGCTTATGTTTTTCTAGAACCCCTAATATCGACAAGCTAGCAGAGGAAGGAGTGACACTTACTCAGCATATAGCAGCATCCCCACTTTGTACTCCAAGCAGGGCAGCTTTCCTGACAGGACGATATCCTATCAGATCAGGTAATAATCCCATTATCTTATTTATATATAAATATCATATTTTATCTGCAGTAAACTGTATGCAATTTTCTCTTTTGGGCTTTCTTGATATCTTTATCATTACTGGACTAGGTACTCATTTCAGTGACTTAATTAAGCTCAGCAGAGTTGGATCAACATTGGAAATCTTCCATATATATGGAAAATTTTCATATTTCAGAAGTTAACACAAAAATAAAGATTTTTTTATTGAGAAAAAGATTTTTTTTTTTTTTTTTAAATACTGAGGAAAAAATCTTATTGTGGTTATTTATTGTTAGGAGAAGACAAATACCATCAAATTTCTCCACTGTCCACATGGCCCTGGGCTCTTTGCCTGTTTCTCCAGTTCCATTCAGGCTGCTCCCAGGACGTTGGTGGGCAGCCTGAGTGTTGAACATCACAGAGGTGCATCTAGAAAGACACAGTGGAAGAACCCGGTGTAAATCCTTCTACTCAGACATTTCTTCTTCTACAAAAACTTTTGGTTTAGACAAATTGTTGTGTTTTTTTTTTTTTTCTTTTTGGAGGGGGGGGATTGGAAAGGGACAGGAATGTCGTGACGGTATTTCAGCAGGCCTTAAAATTGGGAAGAAGAAAGCAAAAAATGTCCCTTCTTTCTAGGTGTTTTAGTTCCATATCTACCCATACACAGTGTTAAGTATGCTATGAATACATGCATTTAATAACTTCTCTTACTTTTAAAGTACCTGATCCAAAACCCATTTGAGTCAGTGAAGATCCAGTCTGTTTATTTTAGTGTGCTGGGACTAAGCCTGTCAATGCTTAGCCATGCAACTTTAACATTCCCTTAGCATCATTTTTAGCAAGGATCATTATACATTAATCAGATCACTTGTTCATTAGTGATAAAACATCCTGTCCTTGCTTCTGGGAATGAAAGCAAAGCAAGACTCTGGAGCCTACTTGATAGGTTCATGCTCATTCAGATCAAGTAACAAGCTTCTGCAAAAGTGCCAGCTAATATAACTTGCTAAATTTTCCATTACATTCAGTTGCAAAGGAAAATTTTATATACCTGTTACAGCTATATTGCTATTAATATTTACTGTAGGTAAAGCCACAGGTCACTTTCCATTACAGTCCTTGTTCTTATTTTGGAACAATTATCATCTGAACTGATTTTTTTCATAACTGATCTCTCAGTCATACCAAATCATTTCCATGTGGGTGAAAAAATTGAACTTTGTCTTAATTAAATTATGAAATTACTAAATATGGACTACTTCCAAACATCACTGAAGAATTAGTAAAGGATTATTATAGAAGATACTAGAATCATGATTTGGAAAAAATGTTAGAAATTTAAAACACCTGCTAATAAGGCTGAATAAAGATGTTCCAAAATGCTGTATTTGATGAGACACATATCCAGAGAAAGGTAATGATAAAAAAAAAAAAAATCACGGTTTTATAATTTCATTATGGTAATTTATGGGAATTACACTGATTTCAGTTACAAGTGATTGAAGTACATAAAAATAAATCTATATATATACAGAGAATATAGATATGTATAGATGACTAAAACTACTTAAACTGTTGATCAATAAATATAGGTGGAGTGGAAAACTTAAGTCAACATTTGAAGGGTAGGTTGAACTCTCTTTAATAAACCTGTCTAACGAGTCTTTTTCTCATCTGACCACAAGGGATACCTGAGGGAAGATTCTTGTTGTCTACATCAGTCATGTAACTTTCACACTGCAATCATCCACTTACATAATTCAGACTTCCTGGAGATACATCTGCACAGATTTGCATAGATATTCTGTGTTCTGTCTGTCTATACTTGGAGCCAGATCTCATCTGCCATCCTAGTAATCTAATTTTCATGAGCCTGAGCTCTGAAGTTCCTCATCCTGAGAGTAGTTTATAAGCTCAAGTTTGTGTTCCTCAGACTCTCAATATATGGAAATTACTGTGCCTTATTTAGATGTTGTCTTATTAGATGATACCTGATACTGCTTTAATTCACTCTATGTATTGAATCATGTGTCTCCATGCCATTGGAGCACTGATCCTCTCCCATCAAAGCTGAGTGCCCTAGCCACTTTATTTCCAGAGTCAGACTCTCTCTTGCTGTTTTTTGACCTCATGATATTTACATGCCCAGCTGTAAGACGGCCCTATTTCAATTGCCTTTTCTCAAATAACCTCAAAGCCTTGTAGAAAACCATGTATGATCAAAGTGGAAGCTCTGAGAGTAGAACTTGGGAGTGATTTCACTTATTTCTCAATTCCATTCCTTCCCCGTGTACAAGAAAAATAAATTATGCAGGGTCAACTTCTTTCAGATATGTTATACCTCAGAACATCTATAGAAGGGTCTGCAGCTGTTTATGTGAAGGCTGGCCTCATGGTTATAAGCAGAGAATTTTTTCTCCATTTCTCAATTTCTGGTGTCAATACAGAAAATATCTCACTCCATTAAATGGATGGTTGTATCTGCCACTCATAACATTTAGCGTCTGGTGGTAATATGTCATTTAAGTGATACCACCTAAAGCAAAAAAGTGCATGCAGAAAGAATGAATGAAAATTGTTTCATTACATTATCCAAGTCTCATTAATTTTCATTGTATTTAGGAATGGCTGCCTTCTCACGAGTTGGTGTCTTCTTATTTTCTGCCTCTTCTGGGGGACTTCCTTTTGAAGAAGTAACTTTTTCCAAACTCCTGAAGCAGAGAGGTTATGCAACAGCTCTAATAGGTAAAATTACATACATACAGAGCATTATTTTTCATTAATTTAAATCAAAAGATCAGTAGCTTTCCTTATAGTCTATTAAGGGTCTGCATTAAGCTTTTTTTCCCCACAGCGTAATGACTTTATTTTTCTGGCACAAAGCTGAGCACATTCCATTGCATACATGAAACATTAATCAGGTAAGTATGTCTAATTCACTTGTGTAGTTATAGTCTCATCATGCAAAGTACTGAAGAAACATAATGAACAAATTGAAAATTAGTCAAGCTCTTGAAAAGTTTTCAGTACAAATAGGAATTTGATTACAGTAGAGAGACAATGAGGGATTGATCACAGGGTACAAGTCAGCACAGTGGTGGGATTAATTTCACCAGTTTTCAAATATCCATAAAGTAGATAATGTAGTACCTGGGCTAACCATCTGGATTCTCTTCTCAGTCATCAGACAGAAATGAGCATTTCCAGGAAATTTGTCTCATCCTGTGCTATATGTTTAATATAAAAATGTGTTTCTTTCTCATTATAAAGATAATTCAGACAACTAACTGGAGCATAAATGTCCAGTGATGGGTAAAAGGAATCCCATTAGATGAATATTAAACAGAATTGAATTAATGTCATAAAGTTATAACATTTAAATAATGTGATTTTTTTTTTTTTTCTCTCATTTGGTCACTGTCTTATTCCACAATGCTTACATTTTAGAGGATTTTTGTGAAATACAATTTGTATTACATAATGTATTTCTGTACTGGAATTGTCAGGAAATAGTTGTTTGGAGAACATCATACCGGAATATTACTGCATTAATTTAAATGATGAATGCACTCAATTTGATTTTAAAATGTAAAAAAAAGCTTGAGATTTTGAGAGTATTTTTTGTTTAAAACCCCAGGTTGTTTAGCAAGCCTAAAAATTCACACCACTGTTCAAACAATATCTATATTATGTAGATACCAGTGTCAGTGTTCCTAACTAAAAATCCTACTTAGCTATACCCTAGTTTTAGAAATTGTTAAATACCTTGATGACCTGAAAGATTCAAAACAGAAAACCAGAAAATCTTAGCAGAGGTATATTTAGTGCTGGCATACTCGAACCATAGTGCAAAGAAGTCATTCATAATTTGTCATGTTCATCGTGGAGTTAATTCCTATTCCTCCATATTCAGTTAAAGACTGCAAAAAAATAATTTTTCTGTTTGTAACAAGTACTGTAATACAACTCATTTTCTAGGTCTGACCTAGTTAATGTTCTTTTTTTAACTACTTTCACTGCAACTTGACAGCTTGCCACTTAGATCTCCAGAAGTTGTCTCCATGATGCTTAATGAACAATTCTTCCAAGTGGCCTGAATGATAGCTATGAAACCATAATATGTAATATTACCATATCCTTAGAGCACAGTGAAGGCTTCCAAAAAATCAAGAAGTGCATTAAAGATGAAACATATGTAAATGACAAAAAGAAAAATTACGTAGATTTGAAGACTAGATAGGCAGACTGTCTCCCAGCCAGCCCAATTTCTGCCTCTCCTGATATTCTTATCACATCATATTGGTCTAGGGCATGGAGTCTTTGCTTGGTTCAATCTAACTCAGCAGTTCTCAAACAATTAGTTGTTAAATCCTACACCAGTGATGGATTGGCATAAGGGTAATTTGAAGCCTTTCAGTTCCTCAAGCCTGTACTGTCACTTCTTTTTTTTCTGCCAAGTTTCTTTCCCTGTTACTCTCTGAGGACATTTTTTTCTTCCTTAAATGCATTTTCCTTTCTTTTTTTAATTTTATTCCTTCCTCTGAATATATGCTTCCTCTTGCTTGATGCGTTCCTAAATATATTTTAGCTATAAATCTACTTTATGTATACACTTTTTTACCTCATCATTTTTCCCTTGTGACACAAAGAAGGTGACATCCAATAGATCTGGCAGGAAGAGACACAGTCAGAAGATCTGCAACAAAACCAAGTTTTCTCAAAAAAGGCAGATGCAGTGAATATGTAATATTTCATAAGTTAAGGATCCTGGAGAGCAGTGAGAAATGTTGAAGTTTTGTAGGAAATAGCTATTAATAATGGAAAAATTCCACTGAAAGCGGATGGGTATTATTTTAACTACTGCTGTACTCAATTACAGTTGAGTAAAGGTCAACTTTTCCTCATGACTGTCATCCAGTGTGTTGTCTAACGTCCAGAGAAGTTTAAGATCCACCTATGTAGTTTATCTCCAAAGTTTAAAATACTAATAGATAAACTGGTACTTGTATCTTTCCTCCAGAATTAGGTGTTTTAATACAAGATTGGTAAAGTCTATGCAATAAAATTAATAGAACAGTTATTGATTGAACAACTTAACATCTGACCATATTAATAATATATACATATATACTTTATATTATTATTGCTATGTATTTCATATAAATATATTTCTTTGAGCACAAAAAATATTTCTAGTTGCATCTTGCTCTGAATCTTACATCTTAACGTTTATCTGAAGAACACAAAATCATACCAAAATAAATGTCTCATTATATACAACTCATTCTTCAGATTGCTCCCTTTTCAACTGTATGAGGGGAAAATAGAGAGGAAACATAGATTTTTGTAGCCTTTCCAGCATTCTGGGTTCTGAAAAACTGCCCTCCAAATGAAGTTTCTTGGATGAATAAGACTTGTCTCTCATTTCCAATTGCCTTTCATTGCATTGCTTTTGCTCTGCAGTAATCCTAACTGTGGCCTAAGGAGAGGGAAAAAAGCCTAAATCTTGAACTGTCAACGCACTCATAATTTACAATTAACAGCATAAATTTCACTCAAAAGCTTGGTAGAATCTGCTGAAGAGTGTATGATGCTTGTGTGAAGTGTCCATACTATGAGGGTTTTCCTGACAAAGCACTGAGAGCATTTTGCACTGCTCTCAGATTCAGAAGGGCCCCAGAGTGTAGAGCCAATTACAATAATCTGTTGAAACACTAGCTCAAGGCAGGGGTTATTGTCACAAGGAATGAAACAAAACATGTGTTGTAGACACAGTCATCACTTGCTTTTTCAGAGAAGTGCAGGATCTATCAAAACCCTCTACCTCCTCAGCCACTTGAGAATGGCAATTGTGTCTTTCTATCACAGCTGCTGATATGATTCGAACCAGTGCTTCTGTTGCTTTTTCCCGCTAACCTTCTGCCTGCTTTGTTTGGCTTAAGTCGCTTCTGAACATATCTTTTTTTTTGAGGCCCAAGTTCATCCTGACATTGAACAATTTGTTGTGCTTGTTAAAACCCTTTCAATAAAAATAGGTCCTATATTTTCTTCTGTCCTAATCTGGTGTTACAAGAGTCTCTGCCCTGGTTTACAATGTCTAATTTTATTGAGATCCAGTTTAAGGAAACTTCTTCATATCATAATAAAGTAGATTTAATTTGTTTGAGTTTCTTTTTCATATTTTTTTACTGAATTATATGTGCATTGAGATTGATGGCTAACAGCAAAAATTAAAAATGAAAGCTTTAGGATGATTTATATTCATGATTATAAGCCTCTACCTTTATTTCAGTTATCTAACTTGGTGTGAGTTGTTTCATGTTCACCTTGATACACATCTGACTTTATGATTATTGCATAAAAACAGTCATGTAAACCTAGAGAAATCACTGAAGTATGTATTTTCCAAAATCTGTTTCTTTGCTTGCTGGGAATCAAATTCAGAGTTGCAGTCTTAGTTAGCCCTTTATGGCACCATTATAATATCTAAAAATTCAGTACGGTGGTCTGCATTGCTGTTTTTGTAATTGGCCACAATAATGTTCACTGGACCTTGTCAAAAATAGTGACAAGAACCATTCTGCCCGCAGAAAGCAGAATGCTGCCTCAGGTGAGGGGCCATCTGACAGTAAGTGGGAAAACTTCTGATGGGATGAGAAAGCTGTAGAGGCCTCCGTTTCACTGGCACATAAGCAGACTTGAAAATGCCTTTATACCCACTTCTACGATATACAGAAGGTATTTCTAACCTAAGACCATCCAGGGGTATATGAGGAGAGCTGGACTCAACCAAGTATTCACATAGGCTCAAGATTTCTGTGGCATTTTTCTCCACCTTTGCTGACAGATAAACTTTAGGTACACAATGTTCTCATCCCATACCTTAGTTCTGTCATTTGTGAAAGAGAAATAATGACATCAAGCCCATTTGCTAGGTACTATTTCAAAAAATCAGAACTGACCAACATCTTTACCCTCTTCAGTACTGCAGTACTTGCATTTGTCATTGCGAGAGGCAGAAGTGCAGGATAAATCTGCTGCTCTCTGGAACCTGCTTGCATCAGGACTCTTTCTTACAGATGTGTAAAAGCTAGGAAGGTTCGGGCAAGGGCGACATTCTATATATGTTTTTTTTTTTCCTTTCATGTGTATCCTGAAGCCTCTAGAACAAAAAATTTCAAAGCGTTTTGGTCTAGGTTATGGGGTTGAGGAGTTACTGGCTTTGAAGTTTTTTTATTTATTTCTTTTAAGATCACACGCCCTGAGTTATGCTGGTCATGTTTAGATATTTGATTCAGAAAAAAAGAAATAAAATTTGGACCAGAAATATATATTGTTATCTGTTTCGTCAGGTGTGACACGTTTTGTCAAATACTCAAAAGACTTCCTTGCTAAAATCAAAAAGCATAGCTCTCACCATAGATTATGTCAATAAGCTTAAATGAATTTTAATTTTTTTTAATTATGCATTTGAATTTAAAAAGAAGCTATGAAAGTTAGGTCTATTCCACTAAGAAATGCATAAGCATATCATAAGGGGTTATACCTGAATCATAGAACAAATTATCTAGATACTTACTGTAATCAGCATGAACAGAGATTATGCTACTATAATGTAAATCAGACTCACAGTTTTCTTGTGTCAGTCAGTGTCCAAGATTACTGCAGAATTAGAGTGATCTCTTAGTGAGACAAGTTGCTGTGAGAGACAGTATTTGGCTGTAATTTATTTGTTATTATTGTTTCTTTTTTTTATTTTTATATGTATATAAGTAAAATATATATAAATAAAAAATATTTTTCCTCACTATATATATGTATATAGTGAGGGAGATTTGTGATTTCAGAGATTTTGCAATCATTTAAAAAATAAATGCCTTAGTAATTTCACTATTCTTGATTTATTTCCTGTTTGTTATTGTTTTCTTTTTTTTTTTTTTTTTTTTTAAACTAGCCAAATGTGAATGATTTGCTAGAAAAATTTCAGAAAAGATATTTTGTAACTTTATATTGGCTTTTCCTAAGAAAGTAGTAAGTGCTACAAAATGGTAGTTTCTTATGACAACTTAACTATACATGCACAAAGGCTTCATTTTCAAAGTTAACTATCTGTTAGGGCTCTGTTGCTCTTCAGTGACATGCTAGCCCACTCCAAATTTAATGGTCTCCATCAGGAGCTGTGCCAAACTATTTCTAACTAAAACAAAGAGGCAGACATGAAACAAAGTCTTTGATGAAGGCATAAAGATTAGATAAAAAATAGGGAATCACATAATAAATGCTGGAAGCAGTGAGATATCAGTCAGACAGTGACAGTTTCATGTTTGGAATAGTGTGTGTTAAAAGTCTGATGATTTAACTACAAAAATACTCCCTGTCCTTCTTTCTTTGTAGGAAAGTGGCATCTTGGGATGAACTGTGAAAGCAGTAATGACTTCTGTCACCACCCCCTCAGTCATGGATTTGATTACTTTTATGGGCTTATTGTGACCAATTTTAGAGACTGCAAACCTGGCCAAGGCAGCGTATTTTTAAAAGGGGTAGAGAAATCCCTTGTCATCACAATCCAAATTGCTGGAATCACTCTGGTCTCTTTGGCAATAGTGCAGTACATTGGCCTTCTCAAAGTACCTTTCCAAGCATTGAGTTACTGTTTGTTAATAACCGCTATTTCACTTGCGGTTTTGATTTTTTTCTTTTATCATTTTCGACACTTGAACTGCTTCTTAATGAGGGACCATCAGATTATCCAGCAGCCACTATCCTATGAGAACCTGACTGAGAGACTGACAAAGGAAGCTGTGCAGTTTATAGAAAGGTGAGTTCTAGCTATAAGTTAATGCTGGCATTTCTCAATGACAGTGCTTCTGAAAAAGTAGGAAAAAGGTGTGAACTGGTGGGCATGAGGAGTATGTCAATATATATTATCATAATTTTTTTCCTTTAAAAGATGACTGAAGTGAATTGTTTTAGTGAAATTGATTGTTTTTTGTTCTATTGGCTATGTCATTTTCTCTATAAAAATTAAAAACCATATATGTTTAGATGCTTCAGAAAAAAAATGTCAAAAAATATCTAAAGTTATTAGAACTTTCATTCTTGAGAATTTAATGTAGCTTGAAATATGAAAAATCTTTTTTGGTGTGACTTAATTATTTGAAAGCACACTGCAGATTCATAATCCATGACTTTTAAGGAATGGGAAACTTCGTCACTGATTTGATGCATCCATTAAATGGCATTCATAAGGCCAATTTTTAAAGATACTGTCACTTTAGATGCTTCTGCTTTTATGCCAGATTCACTTTGAAGATATTTGATTTTTTTTTGAAAGCAATGATTATGATTTTTTAATAACATCACATTGGATCACCTAAATATTGGATGTACAAAGTCATCCTCATTCATTATTCATTTTTTGCAAAGTTAGCTACTTCAGTGCAATTGTTACCACAGGACTTTTAATGGGATCAAATCATAAAAGTATACTTTTGTATATTCTGAAATATAAATCCATATATTCAGAGAAAAAATATTTTATCCATTTAACTTCTTGAAAAATATGCCAAAGCATTTTTCTCAGTAACTTTTGAAACAGGTTGCACCATTTCTAAAAACAGATAATCAAAAGTAGAAACATGATCTAAGACATACCAAGTCCCTTAATTACTTTTCAGAAAAGCATGTACCAGGTTGTTACTGTGAATACCTTCACATGGTGTCATTGTTGAATGAAAGCTTATAACAAAGAATCAGAGGCTAAATGTTCTAGACTTAATGAAGTCCATGCACGCAAAAGTCACCAAGACTGTTCAGAAGAGAAAATGTCTATCTAAAATCTTGATCTCATTCTGCATTTTTTCTATAATTTCTATCAGTATAAATATTTGGTATGGCCATCTCTACTCATCATACCAAAATAGAATTGGTTTTATGTCAAAATTTCTTTAAGAATGTCTTGGGAGCAATCAACATTCTCATTAATAATTATAAATAAACTAAAATATCTTTATTTTGTCTTGTCAGTGGTGAAAGATATAAAGATGCCTTCTCATCTACATTCTAATTTAACAGTGAAGTACTTTGCTTGCAACAAACATACACACACATACCCCTCCCCCTTTGAAACCTGTTAAGAGTTTTAGTGACCAAGCATTTGATGTTTTTAAAAGACTGTTGAGTACGTTAACTATATGTCAGCAGAATCTTCTATGATTAGCAAGTATGTAATGTGCCTGTAGTGATCATAATGTTTTGGATATCACTGAATGTTTCATTGATTTAAATGCAATGACAATAAAATTGTAGCCCCAAAAGAGGTGAGTTCAAGATTGGAAATCAATGCTAGAAAACTCTTTTAACTTTATTAATATTCATAATGTGCACAGTGTTATTTTATAGCTTAGTTAATGTTTACAGCTGGCAAGACAATGTATCATTTAAGTCAGAATAGCTTTGTTGACTCAGCTGGAGGTAAGTAGCTTTACATCAGCTGGGCAATTGGCCCCATTTCTCAATGTAGTTTCCACACATAGTGAAGTTAAATTAAAAGTCAAGGTTAATAATACATATTTGTAATTTACAATAAACTTTGTTAAAGGAATTCTGCAATTATAGTGAGAATTATAACCCTAACCCAGCTCTTCTTTAGTCTAGCATATGTGTATTACTGTTCTCATTTTTCCTAGCTAGACTGAAAGAGAGCAAATACAAGATTCAATGTTCAGAAATGGCACCGGAGAAGAACATACACAATTACAAGCATCAGGTCCAGTGTGTGAAAACAAATACCACTAAGTTAGTTGCTCACCTTAATTGTAAGTGGGTAGGTCAGCTCAGTACATGTTAATTCTAATTAATTTTTCCCAAGAGCAAGTGCGTGTACATATTGGAAACCTATCAGAAAACTCTCTAGACATTACAGTATATTTGAAAGTCAAATAGATGCTAATTATTTCATGTTATGTTCAATGAGGTCATCACTCATACATCTTCAGCACGTCCTTTAATGACCAGCTGCACAGACAATCCAAATTTGGAAAATGCCAGAGACCAGTTTCTAACGTATCAGAAATTAACAGCACAAAAGTACCACTCTATGATACAGAATACCTCTCTGACAAATTCATATAGCTGATCACAATTAATAATAATATTTTAAAACAAAAATTCTAATGAAAACTAACTTCTGGAAAATAGTGTTTGCATACAAACATGTTTATTCAAAAGCTATGGTGAACATGAAGTTGAACAATTTTAATGAAATTTTTTTTCAGTCATAGATTACATAGCCATAATATTCAAAATTTTGTAATGACAGTTAATAATTTTTTCTTATCTATTTTATTTTAGTCCTTGAAACATTGTTACAACACACATTCAGATTATTTTTTCATCTACTCTAGCAAACTGTGGCTCAGAGTTTTTTCATATATCACTAGGTCTTAAGATCAGGCAGTTGGCATGTTGTACTGGAGTTACAGTTCTGAAAACAAATCTTATATTAATCCAGAAAAAATATTCCTTATAGTTTACAGCAAAATACAAATTATAGAGAAGAGTTTGGGTATGATATATATGTACATATATATTAAAAGAAGGTAGGAATTTATATGCCATAACAACTCTATTGGATCTTCTTCCCCTTTTCTCAGACCTCTGCTTGTTCCTTTTGAATAAAAATCTAACAGGAAGAAGCTGTGAATTCATATACTTTAGGGCCATCTGAAAATGAAAGATTTAAGTAATTTAAGAATGATTAAGAACCTAACTAGTTCTATGATGAGTAACAGCCTGCATTGTAAATGAAACACTTCTAAAAAGCAGTAGATCTGTATACTGGGCTCCAAAGTTTTTTGGGGAAAAAGGATTAAGTAATAAGTTTAATTTGTAGTAGATGAGAAATTTCTTTCTTTTGCCCATGCTTATGAGAATGTACTTTTTGAAGGGGAGAAAAAAAGTTATATATGAAGGAAATAAAAACATATATGAATTGTGTACCTTAAGCATTTAAAAGAAATAGGCATGAAATCAGATATGTCAAAAGCTTCTTGTCTATTTGCATGGAAGAATCATTTCATAAATGCAGATAAAGTAGTAACACATCCTACTTTGAAGACCTTCTAGAAAGAGTCAGATTTTCCATATTTTTTTTTTTCCTTTTCTCATTCCGTTTTCAACACCTTTTCTGATTTTGATGTTACACCCAAGCGGTCTAGAGTTTTCTGATTTTGAAAAGTTTTGAAAATATGAGAGCTGTGTTTTAAGGTGTGTCTTTTAAAAGGGTAGACAGAAATACTCATTCATGGATTCATTCATGCTAACAAGGATTTTAGCACTGTTAGCAGTCAGAACAAAACAAAATCCAGCTTTTAGGACAAAGTCCTGCTTTGATACAACTGAGCCAAGATTTACCTTTTCTTTCTGCAGGAACAAGAAGGCTTAATGAAGTACATTCAGTCAGTTCTGTTACAAAGAGCACACTGTCTAATTGGTGATCTAATCTGAAAGTACAGGATGAAGCCATGGGAAATAAGCACTGAATGAATTTTTCCACCAGGGGGGATATTGAATAAGAATGTTTTTAGTAAAAGGAGACTTACAGGGAAGGAAAAGTTAGGTTTGCATCTGCCTGTGTCAACACATTGTTACATATTTGTGCTGAAAATATATCTTCAGATTATATACTTCAGCATTTTTGCTTTCTTTCATTTTAACTGTGACTATGTGAAAATGACATTCATATACATTCAATAAGTCTTATTAAAACATAAGTATTTATCTTTATACAAAGTAATACTTTTTACCTCTACATCTCTTTCAAATAGTTCTTTGCAGTTTTTTGTTTTTTGTTTTTTTTTTTTTTTTTTATGGGTGGATTAGCTGTAATTTATAAGACTTTGGGGATTACAGAAACAATTGTTAACGCAATTTTAACACAGCATCATGTTTGTCCAGCTCAGGCAAAACCAAGTATATCTGCCTTTATAGTCAGCTGCTGTGAATCATATTACCTTCACTGATAGAAGGGGGTTAAAAATATGTACTTTGTGACAAGATGTGAAGATAGTTTCACATCTAGAAAAAAAAATAATAATTCAGAAAGATCATACTTGTACATCATAATAAAGTTTAATTTAGAATTTATTGTGAAAAAGCAAAATGGATCCCCATCATGGCGTGTTCCCATTTTGTGTTCCATACAGATTCATACTTGAAATCTCAGTTTGATTTGACAAGTGCAGACCAAAAAATTCAGAGCCCCACCTGTTGCTCTGCTGCAGTGATCTTAGATTAACATCAATGCACATAAAAACAAACAAAATTACCCAACAGGTGTTCAGTCCAGCAAACATTTAGAGCAAAATTGCAGGAAAAAAAGACCCTTGTGTGAAGTACAAAGTCATATTAGTTGTAACTTGCTCTCTCACGCACTTTAAAGCTGTGTTTTACACATCAAGCCTGAACTGAATCTCTGAGTAACGTAGACTCCTCATACTAAAAAAGAAGAACCTAGTGCTTTGCAATACAGAGGAGTCACCAGCAATGTGATGCTTTTAGATGTTTTCAAGATCAGTTAAACACACATTAAAGAATGTCTTATGTCAGATGTGTGTAATCTCTCTGGCTACTCAGTAAATTGAAAAGACTGTGTGTTTCATGTTAGGATAAAAAAATTCACTATATTTGAGTAAGTGAATCACAGATCTTTTGAAACTGAAGTTCCTAGTGTTTGAACTGTGTAAAAGATAGTGGCGATACATTTTTGAAGGAGCTGTTTACTGAAGTGGTTCAGGATTTAAGCTGTTACTGTCAAATTTCTCTCCTGCCTACTAGCTGATATTGTCATTCCATTTTCAAGGTCACGGTAAAGGTAGTCAGTTAAGATTCTCCTCAAAGAGTTTTGGCAGGAGATAAATAGATGCCTGTGATCTTTTGTAGGATATTAATAGGTGAGACACTTCTCCACCTGACAGTAAGCTGTCAATCAGAACATGTCAATTTGAGTTTCAAAGAAGAGAATGATGTAGTGCCCTTCCATATCAATCACTGATTTGATGACTTTTCATGACAGTTGTATTTTTGTGTCAGTTACATTAAAAAAAAAAACAACCCAAAACCCAACCAAACCAACAAATCTGAGTTACTATCTCTTGAAAATAACATAGTGGAAGCTTTTGTTACTCACTTTTAGCAATACAGGTATATATTTAGAAGTATGCACTATCTCTGTGACATTAGAACGAGGCAGTTTGCATGAAAATTAAATTGTGCTTACACCATTATAAGTATAAAGCACATTTTTGTGGTGCTTTACCCTAAAATTTCTACATTACTCTCAATTCAATGAACTGTGTTTAAGGAAAAAGTCAAAGATAATCCCATGCAGTAGAAAAAATCAAGTTGTAAAACAAAAATCAGCTGCCTTGCAGAAATGTTCTTTAATGAATGGTCAGTGTAACATTAATGTACATATTAAATATTAAACTTATACATATTTTTTTGCTTGCAGTGCTGATATTTTCAGTCTTTTTAATTGACTCAGAAGTCTTGTATTATTTGTTAAAGTAATGAAAGGTACTCACATGTATGACCTCTCAAATATCAACAAACACAGCTTCATGGAAAGTGTATCTTTTATGAAAAATATTGTCTTTTTTTTTTTTTTTTTAATCTATACTGAGGCAATACAGGATATATGCACAAATATTTTAAGGGAATTACAATAACTTTATATTTTCCACATGAAATTGTTCTATTTATTCTGTCATTTTTTAAAAAAAAAGGAGAAAGTTTTTATGAAGAAAAAGACCCAGTCAGAAACACACTTATCAAGTGAGTCATCTGGATAAAATTTTCCCAGTTTATGTACTGCTGTGTATGCCAGTGAAAAAGAAAGCTTTAACCTTGCAAATTGTGTAAAAATAGATCCAACCAAAGTTAGAGAAAAAATAGATCATAAATGTATTAGTTTAAGGCTAGTTATTTTTTCCTCAAGAGTACATTATTGATATCAGATGAATCCCTTTTATTGAAAGACTTATGTTAGGTCTTTTTTTTTTCATTCTAAAAAACCTGTATGTGCATGTCTGTATCGTTCCTCCCATCTTTAAAGGGTGGATGAATCAACTGCATGAGGAAATATATAGTCTCCTTTTGATATTGACGTGAATAATAGGTATTATCCACCACAGACTGATGAGGGAAAATATGGTAAATAAACCCCAAAATACTCTGTAATTAGCTGTATTCTTTAATGTGATATCCAGACAAGTTTTCTGGGTAGTGCTTTTGTGATTCAACTGATATTTAAAATATGCATAATGTACTACAAATGTTGTTAGAGCATATAGCAGTAAATTTGGCTGGTACTGTACAAATGTAAGTAAAGTTTTATAAATAATTCATAAGGAAAAGTTCTTACTTGAGCTGTGCTTTCACAGCCTGCTGGAACTGATCATAAATATCATGTTGACAGATCACATGAACAGCAAAATTTACAGAGAATCTATTTATTATACTCTTTCTTTTGTATCAGTTCAGGAAATAGACTGAAGACAGTGGAGACTGTTCATTACTGTGAGTGGAATAACTTTATATTAGTATGTACTTTGAGATTATTTATTCTTTGGTACAACATACTTGTAGTGTTATGTAATGATCACATGCATACATACACAGAACATTAAATGACAAGAGATTTTGTCATACACCTTAGCCTAAGATGGAGGAGAAAAAGTACTAGTATACTTGATTTAACATAGTTAATGATATTATGGTATGTTTGACCCTGGTCTTCATAATAGTCTAGTTGATCAGCTTACATATGACCTTGCAAAGAAGGTAGTTGTGTTTCACGCATATATGTAGTTATGAAGGTATGTTTTTGAAGAGCAATTGTACTCGGGTTTTTAAATATGTACTTGTAAAATTGGGAGAGGTGGTTTTAGCCAGAAACTGCTAGGTTCCTGTCTTTAAATAAGTCCTTTTTCAACATATATATTGCAAAGTGTAATTAGTTAGCTTTTGTAATTTATTTTTCCTTTCAATTCAGTATGGAGTTAAGAATGGCATTCTTACTCTGTGTGTGTGTGTGTTCACACAATACTCCTTTTCCTCCTTTTTTTTTGTTTTTGTTTTTTTTTTGAGCTCTACTGTAGAAAGACATTTTTGTAAAAGTTTTGTTATAAAATACACTAAGAGTTTGGTGTTTTGTTTTGTTTTTGTTTTGGTTTGTTTTTTTCTTTTTTTTCCAGGAACACTGATGCACCATTTCTTCTAGTCCTGTCTTATCTTCATGTTCATACTGCTCTATATGCTTCAAAAAATTTCAGAGGAAGGAGCAAGCATGGTTTATATGGGGATGCAGTGGAGGAAATGGACTGGAGCGTAGGTATGTTACATGTGTTTTGAACAGCAATGGAGGGAACTTATTGAAGACTTGTATTCATGTCCACCAAATGCAGACTTCTGCAATTTGAATGTCTACAGTAGATCTGATACACTTGTCCTTTACACTTAGGGGAAAGAAACAGTCATTTAAAAGGCACAGTCATCTGACCTCTTGTAATATCTGTGACCAAATTTATTGTGTCCTACAAATACCTCTTATGTTCTTTGATTATGAATGTAATATATACAGTATGGATTTAGCAGAGATATGGACACCATTTGGAGTAGTTAAATCAAATCCCATGAACTGGTGCCATCTGGTCTCTGTAGGTTATCTTTATAAAACAATATACTAATTCTAAAAGTGACCATATGATATTGATATCAAAATATGAAGTGACTACAATATGCACTGTTGGCAAAAGTAGTGTGCTAATTATTTTAGTGAGTTCTCTGAATTAGTGAAATCACTCAGGTGAGGTCCACTTCTGCTCATGAAGAATAACGAAAAGTAAGCAATTTCCCCTACAGAGCCTTCCATTCTCTCTGAGGCTGAAGAGAAGTTGGTCATTACATCTTTCAACAGGTTTCCCATATCTTTAAATGTATTGGCATGATTCTCTGATTCCATTGATAATCACCTGTGAAAACAACTAACAGTTCATATTTGAAAATAATAATATAAGAGCATAGCAGTATTAGGAGCTAAAGATGAACTTACACACCTCCTTCCTGTACACCTGAAGTCAATTCTGTTCTCAATACAACTCAGTGCAAATTGGCTTTCTTCGAGAAAATGTTGCTTTCTTATTAAATTGCTATAAACAGACATTCATCTTTGGTGCATACATATTTTTAAACTATGCAAACGTGCAGCTAAACATCATGTACATTGCTTTGCATATTTTGCATCAAGAAGTCTAGTTGCAGAAGCTATGGGACAAAAGACAGCACAGCATATTTAGTGATTTGTAATGTATTTAGTGCAGTATTTGCCAAAATGGGGAAAACCCTTGTAGGAAACTGTGATACATGTAGGAAGGGTTTTCAATGTGGGAGATAAGAAAAAAAAAAAAAAAAAAAAAAAAACCAAACAAAAAAACCCAAACAACTCTTTTGTAAATCAGGTTTTGTAATGAGAGAGTGGTTTTCATTCCAATTGTATTATACCCTGAATCTTTATCATTTGTGTCAGTGGCTACCAGCATTTGGTAAATCAAGTGCTTGCATTAGGTAAAAGTATGCATCTGTTGTCATTTCTGATTACACCCACATTGTAGCAAGCTACAGAGCATTATCTGATCTTACTGTCTGTGTTTGATTTTACTATTTCTTTTTCTGTTCCATAATACTTAGCTTATTCTTGATCATTTGCTGCTGCCGTTACGTTTTGCTGCCTCCTTCAGGAGAGTGGCTCCGGGGTTTAAACTGCAAGTTGGAAACCAAGGCAGCTGACATATTCCTGTTTCAGGCTATTTAATGATGCAGAGGTGGTAACAGATTGAAAACCACTGCTCTCTTCCAGAATGACCGCAAGCTCTTAGGAGATGTGTCAAACAAGCCAAGCTGTAGGACAGAAGCATGTTATTAAAACAGCTTGGGATAGATCAGAGATAGAAATTTAGTGGTGATAACACAGGAATTTCAAACAAACTCAAGGATACATGAGTTTCCTTATGTATTGTCCTTTACAGTTCATTACAGGAGCATCAGGGGCAATGGAGGTAGGTTAATCAGGAAACAGATCCTTGTCTGTCATACAAACATCAAATATTCTTTCAGCTGGGGGTCTGTTTACTTGGTTTTGTTTATGTCTTAAAAGACTCCTCTGTTGACAGGTAGCATATTTGCTTCAGGAGGTAGAAAATGTGTTTAGTTTCTATGTTACTTTCTCCTCTATTATTAGAATGATGAAAAAAAAGTTATGTCTGGCACTTCCAAAGGAGTCTGAAGGAATAATGTAGCTTTTTTTTTTTTTTTTTTTTTTTTTTTTTCAATTGAAGGGAGTACTTATTTCCATTAACCTCCACTGAAAATTCCAGTCTTAATGCATCAGCTCTGTCAGACAAAGTAGATTTATTCAGTATTGCTGATGTCAGTAACCAGTATTTTCTTGGAATACCTCTGAAGCTGTTACAGTAGAAAAGTCAAACAAAATTGTCTGTAAAAGCTGAAAAAGTAAAAACTGTAAGCTTTCCACAAAGGGAGTTTTTATCATTCACTAGATAGAAATTAGTATTTATGCATAGATTAATGTAACTTGCAAAAGCAATAAGAACAAAATATCCCAGATAAAACAATATGCCCTCCTAATTAAAGACAACACAAGCATAGGAAGAAAAGATGAGTGTATGGAAAACTGTGTTATAGTACAACATATGAAATGTTTGGCATCTGGTAGGAAAAGAAGCACCAGTTTTAACTCAATTCTAAGAGAAACTTACAATGTATTATCTGCTGACTGGGAAATGTTGTTGAAAACCTTTGTGGATCATTAAAATAGAGAAAAGTGTAGAAGAGATGTTATAAGTAGAAGTTAGAACTGTCAGGAAACAGTGATGAAAAAGTTATGTCAAGATTGGACCATAAGATGAAAATGAAATATTGTTCCTGATTTGAGAGATCAGCTGGAATCGGAAAGAAGACTTTCACTGCCATTTGCAAGAGAAAAAACAACAACCTTTCTAGTAAGACAGAGAAGTCTACTCAGACTGAGAATTCTAAATAAAAGACAATTCCATTTTCGTTTGTTTATTTATTGAGAATCAATTACCTAATTGGACAATAATTCAATTACAAAGCTATCTCTATGCTAGGAGGAGAAAAACCTATAAGACACATGAATGAAATACTCTTTTGAATATTTCATGTTTGTGACTTCTTAAACCAATACTGAGGGGTATGATTACTGTCTATGTCAAAAATATGAAATACAAAGTCTCTGGATAAGCTTTGGGTCCATGTGTGTCTACTGCTTTTACATACTGATGTGTGTATAACAGAATTCAATGTTTAAAGCATTCACAGTTACAATGTCACTGCATGTGACATCTTAAAGATTTATTCTCTGGCTAATAACATTAATTTTCTTCCAATGTAGGCTAAGCACCTTATTAATGCTATTAATTATAATTCATATGAGAGCAGATGAAATAATCTTACAGTCTAAAACTGGAAGAAGAAATTATGAATGAATGAATGCAATACTATCCTTTTATTCCCTCTTCTCTTCTTCCTTTCCTTCATTTCTATTGAGTATAGGAAGAGAAATGAATATGTGCAGAAATTGTTTTTGATGTAAATTGCATTACACTAATTTAATCCAAAACCGATCACTGCAAAGAGTTTTGGAGCCCCCTATAGACTTGAATGCAAGCTGTGTGAAAACACATTAATTCAACACCACTTTTGCAAATGGCTGTTTATCGTTCTGTTAACAGTAGCAAAACTGCATATCAGTTCTTAATCCTTTGTGGAACAATCACAACTGAATAGCTTAAGTGTAAAAAAGTCTCAGAAATTGCAGTCTGGCACAAGCTAGGTAGCTGCAGAGTGGGGGCCTTGTCTAGATATCTTTATTATGTGAATTACCTACCAGCTGAAAAAAATCTTAACTGCCTCTCTGCCATCATATTTTAATTTGTTTTAGGAACAAATTATACCAAGAAAATACTACAATCGTCTGATACTTAATTAGAAGAAAAGGAGTGGAAATATATCCCAATATATCTTACATGTAACTTGTGTTTGAAATATCTTAGAAGGTTTAGTAAAGTTATATATGAAGAGAGTAGCTCCATATTTCCCCAGTACAAGAGAGATATGGAGTTACTGGACAGTGTCCAACAAAGGGTCATGAAGATGATTAAGGGACTGGAGCATCTCTGTTATGAGGAAAGGCTGAGACAGCTGGGACTAGAGCTCTGTTCAACCTGCAGAAGAGAAGGCTGAGGGAGGATCTTATTAATGTATATAAATAGCTGAAGGGAGGGTGCAAAGAGGATGGTGCCAGGCTCTTCTCATTGGTGCCCAGTGACAAGAAGCAATGGGCACAAACTGAAACACAAGAAGTTCCCTCTGAACATCAGGAAAAAAACTTTTTACTCTGAGGATGATCAAACACTGCACAGGTTGTCCAGAGAGTTGGTGGAGTATCCCTTCTTGGAGATATTGAAAAACCATCTGGACCTGGTCCTGGGCTCCAAGAGGCCTTGCTTGAGCAGGGGAGGTTGGGCAAGGTGACCTCTAGAGGTCCCTTCCAACCTTAACCATTCTGTGATCCTGTGAGATGCTGAAGAAAAGAAAAAAGCTATTCACTAAAGTCAATTCATACTTTGAAACAAAATCAGACATAACCTTTAAAAGTCAGTCTAGAGGAACCGAAGAACTCTTTATTGAAGCAAACAGAAGCAAGATACTCTTATGATACTCTCCTCTCTTGTGAAACCCCACCTTGATACTACATTAAGCTCTGAGGTGCACAGTACAAGAAAGACATGGACCTGTTAGGGCAGGTCCAGAGGAGGGCCATGAAAATGGTCAGAGGACTGGACAATTCTCTGAAGAAAGGCTGAAAAAGTTGGGGTTGTTCAGTCTGCTTAAGAGAAGGCTCTAGGGCGACCTTATTGATGCCTTTCAATCTATAAAGGGGGCTTATAAGAAAGATGGAAAGAAACTTGTTACCAGGGCCTGTGTTGACAGGACAGGGGGATACAGTTTTAAACTGAAAGAGGGTAAGTTTAGATTAGATATTAGGAAGAAATTGTTAATGATGAGGATGGTGAGACACTGGACCACGCTGCTCAGAGAAGTGGTGGATGCTCCATCATTGGCAGTGTTCAAGGTTAGGTTGGGTAGGGCTTTGAGCAATGTGACCTAGTGACAGTTGTCCCTTCCCATGAAAAGGGAGTTGGACTAGATGATCTTCAAAGGTCTCTTCCAACCCAAACCATTCTGTGACTCTATGTTACTACAACGATGACAAATTTTGAGAATGCTAAT